AACCAACAAAGGTGTTTGTAGAAGTTTCCAAGAATGTCCTTGTTCTATATTTAATTTGATATTGGAATTATTGGCCTGTCCTATTAGGCAATCAAAAAACAGGCATAAAAGCAACTGGAGTAGAACCCACTGTTACTATAATTTGATAATAGATTGTATTTTACTAACAATTATGAATGCTCTATCCTTCTTTCCTAGCATTTTCCCCATAAGTGCAGGTTCCACTTTTTTTTTTTGATTGATTGAGAATTAATCCATTGATTGCCACAGAGGTTAACCAACTGGCCTGTTGTCCGAGCCTGACGTTGTGGGCTAAGTGAGACTGTCCCAAAGCCACCCAGCCAGACTCCTGATTTCTACCCTGCTATCTTAACTACTAGACCAGAGGTCACCAACCTTTGTCGGTTGGTGGACCGGAGGAAAAGGGAGGGGGAAGCATTTTACATGCGTGCGTGTGCGCACACGGGGGCCGCGTGCACACGCATGCCACAATCAGGGCGGGGCTAGTGCCTGCGTGATACTCACTAGCCCTGCCCTGTTCTTGAGTGGCACAGTGCTTTGTTTCTGTGCCCTGCGGCGCAGAAGCGCCCAGTTTTTGCACCCCGCAGCACAGCAGTGGCCCGTTTCCACGCCCCCAGGCACGGTGTTGGCATCCCATTTTCATGCCCTGAGACATGGCGTTGGTGTCCCGTTTTCACGCCCCAAGGTGTGGCGGTGACCCATTTTTGTGCCCTGCGGCTGTGGCACTAGCACAAGTGAGGGGTTGTGCATGCACGTGCGCACACACTGGCCAGCCTGACCAGGTAGTGGGCCATGGCCTACTGGCCTCTGTACCGTGGCCCACGGGTTGGGGACCCCTGTACTAGACTAAATTGGTTTTCAATGAATGCATTGTACTAAAATACATTGATATTCACAACAGCTTGGTAATATACTGCTCAAAAAAATAAAGGGAACACATCCTATAAGAAATCCTATAGGATGTGTTCCCTTTATTTTTTTGAGCAGTATATATTAATTACAGGTAGTCCTTGACTTACAACAGTTTGTTTAGTGACCAAAGTTACAACGGTACTGACTTATGACCATTTTTCATACTTATTACTGTTGAGCAGCCCTGTGGTCATGTGATCAAAATATGAGTCAGTTGCCAAGTTGCCAAGACATTTGGTAGCTGATTCATATTTAAAGTTGCAGTGTGCCAGCGTCACATGATCCCCTTTGGCGAACTTCTAACAAGCAAAGTGATGGGGAAGCCAGATTCATTTAACCATGATACTGAACAACTGCAGTGATTCACTTAACAACTATGGCAAAAAAGGTCGTAAAATGGGGCAAAACTCACTTAACAACTGTCTTGCTTACAAACAAAAAATTGGGCTTGACTATGGTCATAAGTCAAGGTCTACCTGTAATTATTCATTTAAGTCCAGCAAGACTTGTATATTTATTGTATTGTATTGTATATTTAATATACTATACATACGTAACTTTCCCTTTTGAAAACATACTACAATCATTGCTTCAGTTAAATTAATTTCAATTATTTCCTTTCTTTCTTTGTCCAGTTTTTCCTAATATCCAATTCTTAATGTGAAAAACAAAGATTACGGGTCAGATTTAGAGCTTCTCATCACATTTGTACCCTTCATGAATTCTCTTTCACCACATATCGGTTCTCGATTGATCCCCATCTCCTCAGGCTTATCTGACTGTACACAACTGAATGATAGTTAAGGTCATCATATGGCATCCATAACTGATTCAAGTCAAAGGGGAAAACATTACTACTTCATCTCTGAAGCAGACTTAAGCTTTGGAGATGGAAGGAAGACCATGTCATAGGAATGCTGCAGTTAGTCTCAAGTCAACAAAAGCTGCAAGGACCTGTTGTATCTGTCTAACAAAACAGAGTAACAGAGTTGGAAGGGACTTTGGAGGTCTTCTAATCCAGCCCCCTGCTCAATCAGAAGACCCTATACCGTTTCAGACAAATGGCTCTCTAATCTCTTCTTAAAAATCTTCAGTGCTGGAGCATCCACAGCTTCTGGAGGCAAGTCGTTCCACTGATTAATTGTTCTAACTGTCAAGAAATTTCTCCTTAGTTCTAGGTTGGTTAAACACTATTGGTTTAAGCTTTCATAGGTTGTCTTCCAAAAAATCACACTCTCTTGCCACTGACCCTAATGGCTAAGTCTGATGGAGTTGAAGTCCTGAACATTTGGAGGGCATAGGTTTTGAGGGAGATGTCATAGGACTTCAGCAACCCAGGCATGTATAAGGGCTGGAGTCATGTCACAGAATGATGCAGTGCCAGTCATGGAAAAACAGTCAATTCTGAAGCAAAATCACTGTTATTTTGCAACACCAAGAATCATTCAGTTCTCAGGAGTTACAGTAATTTGTCTGACAATTTCCGTGCATGCCTCAGGTTAATGTCAGATCCGCTATTATTATAAAGGAAAAACAGTTCTTTTATAAAAAAAATAATGTACGAAAAATAAAGGAAACTCTGTTTAGTTTGTTGACTCTGAAAGCTTGAAAGTTCACAAGACCTGAGGCTGTCATCAGCACCGTACAAAGTCTTAAAACGTTTTTTCAAAGTTTTATTTTTAAATTAAATGTGGCATTTTAAGCCCAATGTTTAGTGTTTATACCCTCTAGCTAAATGGAGGATGATACGCCTTATAGAAGTAGATTCTACTAAGGAAAGATACTGTGTTTTCTATTGATTATTTCATGAAAATGTTTGCATAGTTACTTGTAAACCACACATTGTAACTCCTCCCCTCCACAATCATAACCAATTTTAAAATATATCTATATTAGAAGATACTATTAAAACCAGGAGTTTTCAACCTTGGGAACCTCAAGACTTGTGGACTTCAACTCCCAGAATTCCCCAGCCAGCATGGCTGGCTGAGGATTTCTGGGAGTTGAAGTCCATAGTTCTTAAAGTTCCAAAGCCTGGACACCCCTGATTTAAATAATTGAAAAGTTTTTGGCTTCTTTAGATTTTTTTTAAAAAATACATTGCAAAATAATTGACATAATATATGATTATGACTAAAGCTAAGCAAGGTTGAACTTGGTTTGTATTTGAATGGAAGCAATGGGAAAATACTCGATAGCATTTTACATGGCCATGAATTCAATGTCTGAGTTGAAGTTGAAGTTGACACTTTCCCTTTTTTACCTGCCTGCCATCCTAACACTGATGGATCTCTAACTCTTCACAATATAGCCTTTGCTCAGAAGGGAACCTACCACTGATGGATTTGACAGGTATAGATTCCAAGGTTAGAGATTCATGATATAGGGCAAGTAATTACAACTGGTGAATTATTGAAAACACTCAATTGGTAAAGTTGTGTGAAGCACCGTCTTTCTGCAGGATGTTCTATCATGAAGAGACACTTGACTTCACCTCAACAATTGGTTGAGACAAATTGACCTTGCTGAGTTAGCTTGTCTTTACAAATGGGATTTCTCTGCATGGGTGTGGATGGAGATTCTCCCCATAGCCACTTATCTCTTAGTGGACTTTTAATCTATTTGCCTATAAAGAGGTTTCAAAACTAGAAGACTTTCTTAACTACTTGTTAAATTCTCCTTGGCATCTGATGCTAATATTGCAATGTTTAGATCATTTTCAGTGTTGATAACGTCATCTAAAGTTAGTAAGTACCAATTCCCTTTACCTGTTGCCCCTTCTGCTACTGTGTTTCCCCAAAAAAGACCCAACCAGAAAATAAGCCCTAGCATGATTTTTCAGGATGCTCGGAATATAAGCCCCACCCCAAAAATAAACCCTAGTTAAGATTGTCAGCCAGATGCATTTAGTACCGTATTTTCCCCAAAATAAGGCCTAACCAGAAAATAAGCCCTAATGCGTCTTTTGGGACAAAAATTAATATAACAGCCAATCTTATTTTCGGGAAAAATAAGATATTATAGTATTTCAAAGCAACGCACTATACAACCATCCTTTTCTCTCCTGAGAAACCGTATACACCTTATGAATATATCCACATATTTCATTTGGCTCAAGAAAATGTAATTAATCTTCCTAACTTCAGGGTATTATGATTATGACATAGAAGACCCTGAACTTAGGGCATCTTTACCTTTGCAAACCTGTCAATTACTGATTGTTTGGGGAAGTTTTACTGCAAGCCTTCAAGAATCACAGAGCACCATCTGGGCTTCACTCTGGGTTTACCAGAATGGGACGTACCTTCTGAAATACTGTCTCCCTTCAAATGAGTGTAGCACCTATTTTTACATTTTTACGTATTTGTTGAAGATCCGTTTATCTTTTTTTGCATCATCACTGGATGGTTTTTGTTCCTAATTCTACCCTCTCCCACAATTTAGCATTCTTATATCACATTTTATATTTTGTTCTGGTTCATTTTACATACACAAAGACACACATGCTAACTAAATGAGAGGTATGATTAAAAATAAAGCAGAGAAGGAGAATCTTTTGTAGAGCAGTTGAAACAGAATATACACATAAACATTCAAAATCCATCCATCCATCCATCCATCCATCCATCCATCCATCCATCCATCCATCCATCCATCCATCCATCCATCCATCCATCTATCTATCTATCTATCTATCTATCTATCTATCTATCTATCTATCTATCTATCTATCTATCTATCTATCTATCTATCTATCTATCTATCTCATCATCATCTCTGTTGTCTGTGTGTCTATCATCTTCATCATTTGTCATCTATCTTTATCTATATCTGTCTGTCTCACTATCTCTCTCCATCTTTCTTTCTCTCCATCTCTCTCTCTCTCTCTCTCTCTCTCTCTCTCTCTCTCTCTCTCTCTCTCTCTCTCTCTCTCTCTCTCGCATCAGTCACTACAGTAACTCTAAGCAACTCAGCTTATATTCATGCAGATCACAGAATTTGAATTTCCTTGGTGAAGAAGAAGACTTCCTGTGTCTTTAGAGATATCTAGCATGATCCAGACCTACCTCTTGATGCTTTCTCTGGAAAAGTAGACTGCATAGGTCTGAATGTTCCCTTTTGCCTCTGCAGGTGGGCGCCAGCTGAGACGGACAAATCGGCTGGAGACCAAGACAGGGACCACATCTCGGGGAGCAGAGGGAAGGATCCTGGAACTTGGGATAGCTAAAGAAGGGGAAGGAGAGGAATTCATCAGGTGGACAGATGGTGTAGGAGTTGCAGGGTGGGTGGGAAGCGCTGTCATAGGTACAACTAACATTTCAGAAAACACAGGGCTTGATAAATCAGCTGTGACCAGGATAAACACAGGGAAAGAGAGAGAAAGAGATAAAAAAAAACTAGCCATAAAACCTCTTTTTAAAATGCATCAACAATTCATTTTTTTTACAAATCTATAGATTAGCCTTTCTATAAATATCCTCCTCTTTTTTCTAACTCACTTTTCTGATTAAGAATTCTTTATAGAAGGGCTACCAGGGCTGAGCTGCAAAAAACTGAATATTAGATGGTAACCAAGAAAGACAAACCTGCATGTTGGGTTGTCATTTAGATTTCTGGATTCCGCAGTGCAGATATAGTAGCCCTTTAAACATTCATAAGCTTACCCACTCTTTTGTGCTACTTTCATTGTTTATAATAAAATTATTAGCCAATTTTACATTTGGGATCATTAAACACAGTTTCTTTTAAGAAAGAAATAGGAATATAAATGTTCATAACCCAACATTTCTGTAAGTGTATTCAACCAGACTGGATTTTGGCAAGGTCATTACAGGTAAATATATGCAGTNATAATTAAGACCACAATTTCCTTTGTTAAGCAAGGTGATTGTTAAATGAATCAACTTTGCCCAATTTTATGGCCTCTTTTGCCATGGCTATTAAGTGAATAACACAGTTGTCAACAAATCTGGCTTCTTCCATTGACTGTTTGTTGGAAGCTGTCTGGGAAAGTTGCCAATGGCAATCACATGATCCCTGGACACTGCAATCATTGTAAATACCTGCGAGTTGCCAAGCATCTGATTTTTGATCATATGACCATGGAGATGCTGCAAGTTCAAGGATGGTTGTACATTACTTTTTTCAGTGCTGTTGTCAACTCTACAACAAACCTGGCTGCAGCCATCTTGCTCATTCTAAGTTGCCACAGAATTGGGAGGGGGTATGGAGGATTTCTGCTAGTCTAAACATTTCACTGTCCCATGGGAACCAAAGTCATTTCTGTCAATTAGATGGGGAGGGTTGAGCATTTGGTGAGAAAGGCCACCAAACTGTTCTATTGGGGAACATAGCTGATTGCATAGCAATGGGGTGGGAAGTCCAACTTTGTAATATTGTCTCTCTTTGAAGGGAACTTCAGACTTGGTTTTACTTTTGACTGTGCCGATACTATGTAGCCAATAAACATGTTCTTTGAGGAAATCTCTAGCCTCGGAGTTCTGATTTGTTTGATCTCGTTTATCGGAACCTTGACAACTGTTGTAACAGTGAATGGTTGCTAAACAAATAGTTGTAAGTCAAGGACTACACTCATCATAGCAATGCTACACCTTAAAAACAGGGACAGTTCTATTCCTAAGAATTCAAAGAGTAGGATACAACCCAGAATGTCTTAGCCATTCTTATGTCTTCCCAGTTTCACAACTAATGACATGCAAATGTCTGAAGATGAAAGCACATCACAAATAGCTGAGCTACAGCAACATCACACCACAGAAGCAAAATGATAAATAAAAATTAAAAAAAGAACAACGTTATAAAGGAAAACAAGGCATTAAAATGAACACTTCCTCAAATATTGTGAAATAAATTCATTTTCACAAGTAAGCAATCGAAGAGGGGCAATATTTGAGAAAACAGTCATAGTTGTAAGACTGAAGTTTGTAATGCGGATCTTTGTAGGCTAAGGGGCTTCCTAGCAGCATAAGTGATTAGAAGTGGGGAAAAAAACAGTAAACATTTAAAAGCAAATAAGCTGAAGACTTTGAGAATCCTTTGGATATGACAGTTGGTGGGAGAGAAATGTCCCCTTGTGTTGACTCTAACACAAGTTTATGTTTTATGTATTTGTTTATTTATTCAGTTTCTTATAGCCACCCATTTCAGCCAAATGACTCCGGATAGCTTAGAATTCTAAAACTATAAAACAGTTAAAATAGTTACAAACAATAAAATCATACAAAAAATAACCAACTATCGTAAAGCTAGAAAATGGGGCTCTTAACACATTCCAAACCCCAGGCTCAGGTATACACAAACAAAATTTTAAAGCCTAATGAAAGGCTTCATATTCTATGAAGAAGAGGCTACAATAGAGAAGGCCCATCTTCTAGTTTTACTTCCCTTTCTCTTTCTGCCTTCAGAAAATAGACATCATGAAGATAAAAGGATCCATAAGCAAGAGACATTTTATTCTGCTCATCTTGGGGGACAGAAGTCATAACTAACATTATATACCTTTAGAATGGATGTTATTTGGACAGCTCCCTGACTCCATTTTTAGCAATTAAGTATTTGTGTGAAAGGACAAAGCTTTCCTTTTTTGACTATAGGTATGCAAATGATGAAAGGTGAGATTCATAAATTGCCTTATTTTTTTAAAAAAAACAACACTTTATTAGAATTCACATCAGAATTTATTGTATTATAAATTTGGAATTTCATAATATAATAAAATTATAAAAAATATGTTTCTAGAAAAAATAAGAACAAGAAAAAAAGATAGGAAATTAAAAAAAGTAAAGTGAAAAAAAAAAACCAAGAATTTTGACTTCCACCGATCTTTCCATCAAGTAATTGCCATTCTACTCTTTTCCCTCCTTCCTTAAACTTTTTTTAATCTTCTAAAAATAAATCATCAGGTCACTTTTTTCTTTCAGCAAAAATTCCATATAAGGCTTCCATTCTTTTAAAAAAGTTTTTGTTTTTTTCCCTCATGTCCAAACTGGTTGGTTTTGCCATTTCTGCCAGCTCTGTCAATTTTATAATCCAATCTTTTCCTGTGGGAAGATTAAAATTTTCTCGATCTGTGCATCACAGAGATTGGAGAATTAGGTCATGAATTCTGAAGTTCTTTTTTTCTGAGTACCGTTAAAAAGTAAAAATAAATCTAAGTATAACTTAAAGACAATGCAAATCCAGAAGGCTCACTGAATTTCTTCCTCTGATGAAACAAAAATTGTGGGGTTCTTGATGTTCTTTGACCTTAGTTGTTTGCTTGCAGACATTTCATGATCTACCTAAGAAGTATCATCATTGCAAGTTCCACCCTGAGCTGCCAATATTCTCTTTTATTGATAAAAACAAAAATTATACCATACATTTTGTTAGGAGAGGAAGACAATTATTATCCACTTCTCTGTATTACCAGTTATATGGACAATTCAACATATTCATGTAGAACCCAGGAGTGAAGATGAACTCAAAGTTGAATTTATTTCCCAGCCCCTATCTTTTCCTTTCTTTTTATATTAAAAAGATAGTTTATTACTCCTGATTTGTCCTAAGTTTTTAAAAAATAATCCTCATCTTGTATTTAGCCCTAATTTGTAACTATAGTCAAATCAAATCCATTTATAGAAGCTGAAAGTAAGTTAAGCCTTAACAAAGGGAGACCAATAGAAATTAAGATCATAGGTAAGCACAAGCTGACTCACCTTCCTATACAGAAGCTTTTCTCTTTGTTGCTGGTCAACATGACGTTAACCCCTCTACTTGGGAGAACTCACTCATACTTCAAAGTTCCTCTGAAATGCACTTTGTCAGGACAGATAGCTGACCTGGCACTGTCTTTGATTTCAGTATACAATCATTTTTAAAAAATTCAGCAAATATGCTTTGTGTAGCTTTTTCTCAATATAACCTAACAAAAAAAGGATTTTCAAGGAATGAGCATCCTGAAGCAGTAGACAGGAAGGGCTAACAAGACTTTGGTGTGTTGGTGGAATTTTCCTCTAAATCTAGAGTTTATACTTGGCTAACTTCACTGCCTGAGAAAATAATAATGGATTGACATTGTTTTCCCCACCAAAGGAACTTTCAATAAGAAACGAAATAATAACGAAGTGACTGGAGTTACCTGCAACCAAGACTCAAGTCCTACCTCCAGTCATGGAAACTCATAGATGATTTTTGATGACCCTGTCAATCCAACTACTGTTATTGGACTATTGCTGGGAAGACCTATTGTTGTTTGGATAAAGAGGAACCTGTGCAGGCTATTTATAATTCCTAATAAAATGAATGTTTATGCTCCTGCCTGAAAACAAATGGCATATATTTGTAATACACCTCAAGATGACAAAGAGAAGAATTGTGGAACTTGGTGATTCATCTCCATGAAAACAGAAATAACATATGGCAGCTAGCATTGATGATGTTACCTACGAAATGTCTGCAAGAAAACAACCAAGCTCAGATAGCACCAAGGATATCTCAATTGATTCCATCAGCTTGTGAAGAGTGTTGTATTATAGGAACATGGGTTAATGTTATGATAAAACAAAATCCACTGTTATGTCTTCTTGCTGATCCATGTTGGGTCAAATAATACTTCCAATAACAACCCCAATCATATCACTATAGGTTTTGGATATAGTGTATATGAAGGGAACTTATAAATCTATCAATTGAGGTGATGATCCCACTTATCCATTTAATGTAAAGGACTGGAAAGGAAAATAATGATACTATAAAGCAGACATGTCAAACTCGCGATGTCACGTGATGTCGCGCAACATATCGGAGCTTTTTCCCCATTGCCGGCAATGGGGTGGGTGTGGTTTCCACATGATGCATCTGGCCCATGGGCCGGCAGTTTGACACCCCTGCTACAGAGGAACAGTATTTGGTTCTGAGAAACCATAGTAACTGGTAAATATGCCTTTCCTGTCAGACCTATGAGGTAGACCAGGTAGACTGACTACATGAAGACTTGAATTATACTTGAGGTAGCTACAACAGCAGAATGAAACAGTCACCAGGAGTTAAAAAACTGACTTGAAGGTGCCTATCCACCCATTCACAAACACACACACACACACACACACCATTACAAGATAAAATCAGAATTATTCTCCAAAGCACCTGAAGGCAGGACAAGAAGCAATGGATGGAAACTAATCAAAGAGAGAAGCAACCTAGAACTAAGGAGAAATTTCCTG